GGGAGCAGCTCTGCAAATTCAGTAGCTCCGTCGCCTCACTCTCGAGTATAACGCGCGAGTGCTCGTTGGGCAGAATCGTTTTGTATCGATTCTTTGTCTGCGAACCTAATACCATGGGCTTCTCCTGATGATTCAACGGCAAGTCCCAAAATTCCTTATGCAAATCACGAAATATACGCTTCTGTTCATCATCGTCCAGATGTGGCAAAGGTGTTACGATTCGCTTGACCACCGTCTGGTACAAGCTCAGCAGTTCGCTGTCTTCGGATGTGGGCGGCACTTGATTTGTGGGCGTGCCGCCTTCACGTCCCAACACCAACACCGGCGGCTGCTCCAAGTTCGCTTTGTAGCTGTGATCGAACACGTGATTCAGCTTGATCAAATCGTACTGATTCAGCGGATTCGAGGCACTCTGCAGCATCTGTATGCTGGCCAAATAGATTTTGAACTCCTCGCTCGTCGTCTGCGGTGAGAGCGGACGTGTCATGATATTCCGGATGCCGCCGCCGCCGCCACCACCAGCTGCACAGGTGCAGAGTACAACGCCCGTCTCGTCAGTTCCTATGGGAGATTTGTTTTTCGACTGCTCGCTTGGCTGCAGATCGGAGGCCGAGCCAAAGCACAGCGGCTGCTTGAAGTCCAAATACTGCGAGCTATTGCCGGCTCGATTGCTATTCAAGTTCTCGGTGCTGAAGAACTTGCGCTGATGCGTCGCCTGAGCGGCATTCGCTGCACCACAGCTGCAAACAGTTAACTTGGGCTGCGTTGGATCCAGAGCACCTCCTCCACCGCCTGCTGTACTCAGCTGGCCGCCCATATTGAGCGTTAGACTTTGATTGCTGCCCCTTCGCTCAAGCAGACCGCGCTTGGGCGTCGTCTGACTGGCCATCGAGTTGAGCTCCCCGCACGAGTTGGTCGTGTGACTCTGCAAGGTGATGCTGTGATTGGATCCACGCCGTCGAAATAGACCCTGACGCACACCCTGGCCGCTGCCCGCAGCGACAGTTAATTGATTAAGCGGCTGTGGCTGCTGTTGATTGTGCGTCTGTTGCTGCTCCAGATTGCAACTGGACTTCGAGTTGCTGACAGAGCCCAAGCTATAATTCGAGACACTCAAGCCGCTGTTCATTAGATTGCCACAAGAGCTGTGCAGATTCAAGGTGAGACTGTGATTCGAGCCGCGACGCTGCAGCAGATTCATCGAGCCATGACCGACGCTCTTGCCGGGCAAATCCATCGACTTTTGCTTAAAGGGCGACTCCACAGCTGCTGTGCACGGCGTAAACTCCACCAAGGTCAAGCACTCGGGCAACGTCTTCAAATTGGTACTCGATGAGTGCAGCATGGGATTTAATTTGTGTGCGCTTCGTGGTGCCAGAGTGGCTCCCAGTGTGAATTTCCCGCTGTTGCTGCTGCTCTCGACACTTGAGGCCGACTTTTGTTCATCGGCATCCAGTGAGGTCTGATATGGATTCTGTTTGCGATGATACATTTGCCAATCGCTGCTATTCAAGCCAGGCGATTTGCGACGAGTGGTGCGTCGACTGTGCAGCGACTGTTGGGTATCCAGACGTGAGAGCGAGGTGGAGTGCAGACTGGAGGCCGTTGGCTGCATTAACATATTGCTTTGATTCATGGCCTGCCCAGGGCTGTGACCATATCCATATCCATATCCATAACCGCCGCTGCTGCCCGGCATGGGATGAGATTCATTGATCGGATGCACCACAATCGACAGCTCCGTCTCGTTGGCAGCAGAGTCCAGAGAGCGTGCCTTCTCCTTGGTGCTCTTGATTGTGGGCGTCTTTGGCTTGGAGGGCGATAACGGCTTGGCCAGCTGCACATCTGTGATGCGTATGGTGAGATTGTTCTTATTCTTGCGATTGCGTCGACCCGTTTCGGCTGTGACAGCTTGCTTTGCTTGCTGTTGTTGCTGTTGCTGATTGTCAGGCTCTTCGGCTGCCAGGGCAGCAATCGGTGGCGACTGCTGCACCACCATATCCTGCACCACATGATCGATTTCGGGAAAGCGAAAGAAATTGCCATTTTTATAGCCAGCCGAATTAATGATGTTGAGCGGGGAGCCGCTCAACGAATGATTCAAATTCAAATTATTTATGGAGGCGAGCAACTTGGGTGAGTAGCTGTGCCGGCTCGAATCGTTAAGGAGATTTGGCGTTGTTGTTGCCGTTGACGTAGTTGTTGTTGTCGTCGTTGAGCTATCATCTCTAAAAAGGATTGTGGGTGAGTTGTGTTCGCTTTTCGATAAATACAAACTATCGTGATCGTTATCGGTGCCGCATTTTTTTGGTATCGTATTCTCCTTGTTGGCAAATATCCGACCTGCGTCCTGTGGCGAACATGAACGTCGATCGTATAAGGAAAATCGCTTAAATTTACGATTTAGCGTCGTCGGCGATTGCGGCAATTGCGTTGAGTGTTGCTGCTGCGGCTGCTGATGCTGCGGCTGCTGCTTAGGATTACAAACTGTAAACTGTTTCGGTGTATAGAGTGGCTCCTCATCGCATGCATCAGATGTCGCTGCTGCAGATGGAGTTGTGGGCGATGGGAACTCAAAGGAGGTCTGTAGATATTCGAGGGGCGTAAAATATGGTGTGGGCGTGCTCTTATTGCTTTCCACATCGACATCGGTTTCAGCAGCATTGGTATAGGAGCACTCAATTGATGCAATAACTGCATGTTCTTTGTTGTTGTTTTTTAACTTGTCCATTATATACACACACAAAACACACAGAAAACGCGCTGCGCTCCGCTCCTCACTCCTCACTCCACATACACACCGCTCCGCTCTGCGCTGACACGCTCGCTCGCTCGCTCGCTTCGTTCACACGCCTTCAGTTTGTGCTGGGGCTGCTGTTTGGCTAGACAGGCGCTGCCATGCAGTTGGTATAATGCCGTCAAACGGTTAACATTATCGGCATGCACATTAGCCACTAGCTGGTTGACAAACTATATAGGCATTGCAATAAAATTGCGCTTTTCACAACACAACATTTTTACACACGCAAAATAAGGAAAATAATCAACCTAAATACAATGTGACCAGGCCATCTTACACATAAATTAATACATATTCATATGTATATAGAGATATGCCAACAATATATCGATATATTATTATTGTATGTGGTATTTTTGGCTGCAATGTTTGCAAATAAAACGAAAAATACTATATTATCGGCCATTGCATAGGCAGGCCAAGTTTATTGTTTGGCCGTTGCGTTTCAATTTAGTTTGTAGTCAACAGGCATAACTTAGAACACACAATATAACTAATATAACTTTAAAAATTTATCTGTCTGAAAAATGTTTACTAGCATATCAGTTGATCAGAGTTCAGCCATAAGCGTAGCATGGTGCGATTTTGTGCCAAAAGTGAAGCTTCCTCGAGATATTTAAAATGCTTGTCCTCAAATTGTGGTACCTTCATTGGTTCTGGCGATTGTAAGCAAATAACGCAAATGCTTTGATTTTTGACTATCCGCTGCAATCGCTCGTGATGAAAGCTTAAATAGCTGATCGAATCCACAAATGTCGGTGATTTCACATTGTTGTTGTTATTGTTGATGGTGTTGTGGTGCTGATTGATTGGTGTGCCCTCGCTGTCATTCGATGCTGTTGATGAACTGCCTTGAATTGAATTCAAATTCCTAGCTGTCTGCATCACGTTTTCCGCATTGGCAGCGGTGTCATCCGCATTGCATGCCAGTTTTTTGAATTGCAATTCAAGCTCTTTAATCTCAGCATCTTCTGATTCAGCTTTCGGCTTGGTTGGCAGCTCGCTAGTTTTCGAAGTGAGGATTCTTGGAGTTGTTGTTGTTGCTCCTGCTGCTGCTGCTGCCGATGGCTTCTTCGTTTTGGTTGTCTTCAATCGTGCAGTTGCTTTCATAGCCTCAACATCAGCACGAAACACTTTTGGATCAACTCGAACAATGTGCGGCTTATGTGGTTGCTCATCAAATATTCGAAACTTTGTGTCAGCGGTTATCTTACTATGATGATTGTTATTGTGGTTGTTGGCCTTTTGACCCTTGCTGCCAGGCTTATTATTAAATTTTTTGAGACGCGGCGATATCATTACTTTCACACCCAATCCAGTTTGTACGGCTGCCGCATAGCTCATTCGCATGCCCTGCATTGCCGTCGATGGCAATGATGAGGATGACGTTGCTGCTGGAGATGCTGCTACTGATGGTGCTGTTGTGGTTGCGGTTGTTATTGTTGTTGCGCCTGTTGTTGCGGCTGCTGCTGCTGCCGCCGCCGCCGTAGCTGTAGATGTTAGAGTTGACGCCTCCAAATTCATATATTCACCGAGCGGCTTGCGACGCACGGGCACAAACTGACACGGCTCCTTGGCCAGATCATCGTCATGATGCCCAACGCTGTTGTCATGATCATCATTATCATCGTTGTTGTTTTGGTTGCTGCTGCAGCTGCTGCTGTTGTTGCCGCTGCTGATATTGCCGCAGCTGTTATTGCCGCTGCTATTGTTGCTATTATGATGATGCTGATAGTGGCTCTTTCTGCGTGCATTGCGGTTCTTGCGTTTCGCGAGCGCAGCCGCTGACTTTGATTTGGGCGGCTCCAGTTTTGACTGACGTCTTCCGTTGATCACCACTGGTTGGATGTCTTTGGTGAATGGACGCATTTAAGAATTTTCGTACATATGTATAGGATACGATACATGTATGTATGTATGCAATATATATGCATATACATACACATATACATAGGCATACACTTACATACATGTACATATACGTAGGTGGGTAGATATATGTATATGTATATGTATATGTATGCATGCGCGTATATTACGTACTTTTAATTCTTAATAATTGACGTAATTAACAGCTATTATAATCGATTCAATTGTAGAAAGAACTTACCGATATCGGGATGTAGTTTTCGCGGAGTTCTGTGATGTTGTTTTTTTTTATTGCTACTTTCATTTTACAAAATTTTTTATTTTGATCTACTTTCTCTGACAGTAAATTTAGATGCCTTTAGCATTTGTTAGCAACCCAGAAGGTTTTTATAATCGTATCAAACATTGAAATATAATATATGTATATATGTTTATAATATATATATACACGTACATTTATATATATAAAACATACATAAATATTAATATATAAAGACGCAAAAATGTTTCCCGCTGGTTTGTTTCTACGCACACAAGCCTCAATTCCAAATTACGCGTAAGTCCCAATCCGCATATCCGGATAATGGTAACTCAACGGTAATCCCTCCCCATAGACGTTACTCAGAGTCGAAGAGCAGTTTACCTACGAATGTATTTCTGCTGGGCGGCGGTCTCGGTAAGTTGCAAGGTGGCATCAAGGAAGAAGAATACTTTAGCTCGATCAATCATGGATTAATGTCCAATATACGCAAACATATTGAGTCCTCGAAGACCGCAGACTATATGCGCAAATACGAGGAGTATCAACGTACATTAGATCATGCTGCTCTCTATAATACAACTTGTATAAACAAATACAAGGATATACATGAAGAGGCATTCTTCTTGAATGAGGTAACTGTTGAATATGATGAACATCAAAGGAATGTATCTCTCAATTTCCTCGCATCTCGCCATCCTACTCTCTAGAGCACCGAATGTTTAAAGGTTTTGCATAATCGTGGAAAGGACGATCCCATCGATGACGATGAATCATAGGCAAAGTAATTAATTGGCAAATCCAAATGAATGTTCAAAAATACCAAGGAAAATTAGAAAAACAAAGTAATATCCAAAAAACATTCTCGTCATTTTCAACTGATTTGGACGCAATTTCTTGTTGTTTCTCGTTTCGTATGCAAATTGTGTTGGAATGCTCTGAACTAGGCAGCAGAGCAGTATTTTCAATTCACAATTCAAATTTTTTCCTCGTTTAAATTCGGAAGTCTTACAACAAGTTGGCAGACCCCGCGCAATGCACAAGCAGCTGAGATTTTCATAATACCATGAAATAAAGAGCAACGATCATTCATCGTATATTACTACTTAAAACATATATATATATATATATATACATAAAAACATATATATATATATACTTGAGTAATATACTATATTAGCTGCCGGTATATAAATCAATATGTTTACACTGCGCCGCATCAGTCAACATCTGTATCCAAAACAAATTCAGTAAGTTCCATAAGAGCAGCGGGATTGCATAAGCTCTCTCTCTCTCGCTCTCTCGCTCTCGCTCTCGATTTCCCTCTCATTCACTCTCTATCTACCTGTTTGCGAATATACATATATACTTATAATTATATCTATTTGTTTATTAGATACTTGAGAATGTCGCATGTGGGCGAGTTGGGCAGTGGTGCAGGCAAAGGTGGGGGCGCAGGCGGCTCCATACGCGAAGCTGGTGGATCGTTTGGCAAAATGGAAGCTGCGCGCGAGGAGGAGTTCTTCTATAAGCAGGTCGGTACTTGCAAATAAAAACTATATATAGTCTATATAGACGAGAGTGACTTGAATAGTTTTTGCATAAGGAAAGAAGTTGAAATCGCAAGAAATATTATATGAACAAAACTATTTGCTTCTCTTGTTTATAACTTCACTTATTCTAAATTTCTTGTCTATTTCAGCAAAAGGAACAACTCAAGAACCTGAAGACGAAGACCGACACCAAGACGCCCGAAGCAACAAAGAAATGAAATACATAAACAAACGTACATATATAAATGCTCAATTTTATAGTTTTTAGTTCTGTTTGATAGTTTTTTATGGATCACATTTCGAAATAAATTAAAATATTTTGTGTGAAGGAAAATTTCGTGTAATACCTGAAGTGGAGTAATACCTAAAATGCATTCATGTCGCTATAGATAGCACTTGATGAGGCTGATGCAATTAGCAATAGTTCTGCATTAATTGGAATGTACGAGATGTATTATAAACGAGGTTGGTACGAAGAATTTTTGAAGATAATGAGGCGAAATTAATTAAGATTTGATTTATGCAAAATGTATATATATTACAATTGAATTTTTTTGATTATTAGGTTTTTTTTTTTTTTCATAAGCTGAACTAAATTAACTTTCGCCATAAGTCGATCATTTTAATACTAGATAATTCCCACTACATAATTTAAATAAAAGGAAAATGAGCTATCTCTCTGTCTTTCAACCCTTTCAGTAAATAATCTACAATATCTTTAAGATATCAATATACCACAATCCTAAGCAAAACAAATATATCAATTATAATTTTATTTTTACTATTCTTTAGCAGCTTTACAAATAGCACAGGACTTGTCGTTTTTCCATTCTAAATACATTGAAGACTTCCAATAGTAAATTCGTATAAACTTATTCTAATTCTCATATTGGTATAAAACGGCTTTTTTTTTAATAAATAATAATAACGATTGCTTATTGCGTTGAGGTTTCGACCTTCTTGGCGTTATCCTCCTTGGAGGAGGGTCCAGTCTGTGTGATTTGCACTAGGCGCTCCGTGGTGGGCGGGGGCAATTTCTTCATGGGCGCCGTAATGGTCAGCAGGCCATCCGAGGACAGGGAGGAGGTGACTGTGTCTGGATTGACATCAGCTGCAATAGGTAACAGAAAGTGGATATAATATATACAATAAGAGAGTAAATTCTAGTCAAACCCACCTGGCAGCTGATAACGTCTGGAGAACTGTCTGGCTACGAAGCCATGCTCGTCCTGCTTCTCCTCGTGCTTGCCCTCGACTATGACGAATTTATCGGATACTTTCACTGTAATCTCATTCGGGGAGAACTGCTGCACGTCGAGAATCACTTCGAACTTCTCGTTGTCGATGTTCAGAGTGGAGCCCGATTCCTGTCGCTGCAAACTGTTCACAGAGCGCTGCCACGGACGCAGATAGCCCGAGCGCAGCACAGTGGGGCGCGAGTTCCAAACGGACGACAAAAGATCATCCCGTTTCAGACCCTGGCCAAAGTGTTGATCCAACAGGCGCGATGTGCGCATTGGAAAGTCAAGCTCATCCCACCAATCACGGAACATTAGAGGAACAACGGACATCTATTTGAAGAATGAGAAGAAGATAACAAGCTAATGGCAGTTATCTATAATCCGAAACGTTTGAATTTTTATATATATTTTCATTTTATATTAAACTTTTTTTTGTTTGTATAATTTGGCTACCTTTCGTACCTTTGCTAAATAATCCAATTAATCACAGAATGTAGAATTTTTCGTGTTTTCCGATTCGCGGTTGCAACGTTTTTGTGGAACATTTCGAAAAGTCTGCTCTGTTTTATAGCATCGCATTCAACTGTTTACATTCGCTTCTCTATGCGCTAAAAATATGAAAATGTATTTGCCTTCTAAATTTAGCCTAGCGTCATCTACATGAATTTATATCTATATATATAGATGTATATATATTTATGACTATGTGCCACGTATATCTCGTGTTTGGCCAAATATATTGCTTGTACAAATACAAACTACAAAATATACCCTGTAAATGACTTAAGAAAACTGAATAAAACAATTACAAAATAATAATTATGATATATTTCTGATTGCAAAATACTTCTAAATTATTGCTGTTTAAAAGAATATATACTAAGTATATATTTGACCCCTTAATAATCATTTAATATTATATTTTATTATTTCTGTTTTCATGTTTGTACGAATTTATCTAAAATTCTTCTTATAGGATATGTCTGATGAGAGTCTGTGAGGTTTTTGTTAGGTTTTTGGTTGTTTATCTGTTTGTTTTGTTTTGTTTCTTGTTGTTGTTTATTTTTATTATTTTTGCGGAAAGACGTGTGTACTGACGCCTCTGCATGGAAAATTCTATATGTGTCTTAAATGTTCCACAGACCATTGGGAAAATGCTGTTCAAACAAGCCAAACCACGATGCATGCAATTATTTGTATAATCTTTTAATAACGTATTTATATATAGAATCAAATTTACTAGAAGATTTGCCCAAATGTTTTCGAATTTTTTGCACTTTCATTTTTTATGGAAAGTTTAAATTCTTAGAAGTTGCCAGAATCTGATCATATTTACGTTAATTTCTTATTGATCCCATAGAAATAAACACCTACGTTGAACTACTTATATATGGCCTTACAGCCGCACGACAGGAAATATTTTCCCAATTTCAACCTGTTGAAAATCATTTGATGCCACCCATTAAAATATTTGGCAAATAAATGAGTTTTTAGATTATTTTAGGCATCTGCTGCTGAGTCACTATGCGTCTGTTAGACGAACGCTGTGACGTATCCAAGATGTCTTTGATTTCTTATTTAAGGCATAAACATTAAATTAATAATGAGTATTTTCATTGATCAACTTATTCATAAATATTTATAGACACACTAAATATGCTTCTCACCCATTGTTGCTCTCTTTCTATTGTTATTATTTCACTATGTCTGTCCAACTCTTACTATCTCTCTCTCTTCGACTTATCATCCTATTCATCCTATTCATACATTCCCTATGTCTTATGCCTTATTGTCTATCTCTCTAAGTTTATCCATTTTCTCGAAACCTTATTTCTTCTTTGTGTCACTTTCTAGCCCCTTCGTCTCCTCTACGGTTGTACTCCTCTTCGTTCGCTTTCGGTTTCCTTTTTTCTCTAGTTTTTTTGTCTCTTTCCCTAATTCTAATTCTTTGCTCCCTTTCTTTCTCTTCTCTTCCTTTCTCCTTAACATATCAATTTTGTTTTTCTTTCTTAGCAGAAACACCCTGTTTTTATATGCACCACCAGCAGCCCACATATTGGTCCACGATTCACGTTTTATGTGTGTGTGTGAGTGTGTATTTGTGCGTGTGCGTGAAATATAGGGAAACCGACTTGAAGCCGAGCGACGCCCAAAAGTAGGCCAAAGCCAAAACAGCGGGCAACTCGCTGTCCTATGCATGTGTGTGTGCGATTGTGTACGCGTGTCTGCATGTCTGTGTGTCTGCTCCTGCGTCATGTGATACGCGAACAGGAGGCGAAAAGAGCATAACAAAAACATCAATTACGAAACGCAACGCAATGCAAGAGGTGCGACACAATAAAAGGTTGCAAGTTATGTGTGCATTTTATTTTACTATTTCGCTCACTTTGCAGGCGCTGCCCGTGACGTTTAGCCTGCCCAGACATGGTGGAAATGGAGGACATGGAGGATATGGACGTTGGCTGCTGGTCATGCTGATGCTACTCGGGGCGCTGACTCCATTGCACGCCAGCGAGGACGGACGCAACTCAAACAAACGCTACTCGGATCAGAGCGTACATGGTTACATGACTGAGGTATCATTTGCAACAAATTAAAGGTCCACTTGGATTTACCAATGCATTTATAGCGCACCTGCTGGTGGAACGAGGTGTGCAAGGAGGAGTTCCAAAATCTGTTTCGGTGCAAGTGTCCCCAGTATTCCTATTGCCGGTATGTGTTGTAGAATTATCTTATCAGTGTGCATTACTTGTAATCGTACAATCTCTATTTTCAGCTCGCCAGGACGCTATTATAATGCGTATTGCTCCATGACAGATACCGGTTATATTTGGACGCAACTGGCGTTGGGCACCGTCGAGCGTTGAGTGCGTGACGTCAAACATATCATAACAGTTAAATTACCAACAACAACAACAACAAGAACACCAACAGCAATAATATAGACCAGCACCAATGGCAGCTACACTGACTGCTGATAGTATGCGACCATTTCCCAAGTGGCCTACAACAAATATTCTAAAATGGCAACCAAGCCATCACATGCTCCTTTACTACAAATATTAGCAACAAATTATATAACGTTTTGGTGCTCATGTATCTATCGACATTTGAATATAGCCAATTCTTTAAAGTGAATTGCACAGTATTAAGTATCGATATATGCAAAGCACTTGCATGCACTTAGAACACATACACACACTTGCACGCTTAACTGTGTGAGTTAGTTCATTATTGGATATTGTGTTATCGATTTGTGTGCATAAATAAAACTATCGACCATTTGCATTATGCGGCCTTATTTTTGTTGCCTAACTTTTGGCGCTCAAATGTTTGGCCAATTGGAAAATCAATATAACTTTTTTCAATCAGCGCTCTTCAAGCTGTGCTCGTGCCACCGTGGCACAAACTCTTAACGTAACTGGCCATCATATAAATTTCACCTGTTTTTAGCCTATGCGAACCACAGTACAGGAGAGGCGCATGCGTTTGCAATGAAAGCGAAAAGTGTAGGTGCTGTGCGTATTGGTTGGCCCCGAGTGATTTTAGTTATTGCCAGCTCAACATATAGACAACTCCAACAGATGTTAGGGCAGTCAAAGCCGTAGAAAATTGTGTGCAAATAAACGAGCGGTTTGCAGTTTTATTACAAGAATTGTGCAAAGATAGTAAATATAATTCGAAATCGCGCAGAATGCGAGGTTATTTTTTCGGAGCGCTGCTGGCGCTGGCTTTAGCCGAAATATCTGCGATTGGGGGCAACCACCTGCCAGAGGCTGCCTTAAACCTCAACGAACGTTTCTTCGATGAGGTCAGGGAGCTCATCAAGCGACGCATGGAGGTAAGTTGCAGCTCTGCTATTGTGGGATTTCTTCTCTCATTCTTACCCTCTATCTATCGCCCTCCCTCTCTAACCCTTTATGTAGAGCAAACCGCTGCCTTTGGCGGGCGATGAAATGGCGCTGCAGAATCAACGTAGCTATGATAATGTGCCCATACCTGCAGCTAATGTGCCCGTTCCAGTGCTGGTCGAAAATTGGCCCACAGATCAACATAGTTTTGGCCAAGTCACAGCTGTTTCTGTTGATCCAGAGGGCAACCCAGTGATTTTCCATCGTGCTGACCGCTACTGGGATGTTAAGTAGGTCAACAGCTGTCCGCTAACAAGTGTTTGTTTCGCACATATTCATACTCTATTTTCTCTTGCAGCACCTTCAATGAGAGCAACATCTACTATCTGATTGAGTATGGACCCATTAAGGAGAAAACCATTTATGTGCTAGATCCAAAGACGGGCGCTATTAAAACCGGCTGGGGCTCGGAAATGTTCTATATGCCACATGGCATGACTATAGATGGACATGGAAACTACTGGATTACTGATGTGGCTATGCATCAGGCCTTCAAGGTGGACTCAACTTTTGCTTTTACTGTATATGCTATATAACATATTGCATCAATTACAGTTCCGACCCTTTGAGAGCAAACCGCAACTGGTCATAGGCAAACGCTTCCGACCCGGCTCCTCGGTTAAGCATCTGTGCAAACCCACTTCAATAGCTGTTGCCACAACAGGCGAGGTGAGTACTATTTATATTTAATGCAAACCTGTACTTATTATGTCTATTTATTGCAGTTCTTTATAGCTGATGGCTACTGTAACAGTCGCATACTCAAGTTCAATGCAGCTGGCAAATTGCTGCGCAGCATTCCACAGCCACCGGGTACGTATACGTGATATATTTCAAGTATAAATGTATGTATAATATTGGTAATGATTGCAGAATTCCTCTCCTTACAAGTGCCACATGCCATTACCCTATTGGAGCACTTGGATTTACTTTGCATTGCGGATCGTGAGAATATGCGTGTTGTGTGCCCCAAGTAAGAGAATACATAATTGATAAGAGAAAATATAAATGGAGTGAGTATACAAAGATAAAAGAGAAGATAAACGAACAAGAGAAAAGTAAAAAGCGAAAAGAGACAAGAGAGCAGTTTGAAGTTAAACTGAAACTGAACTCTGAAAAGAGAAGGCCCAAGACTAAGACAGAAACAAGTTGAGGAGAATAGAGAAGATACAAAATATCAAAGATGTATAAATATAGCAAAAGAGAAAAGAAGGGGATGTTAAAATATCACATTAACTTAAATTAAGTTAAATATTAATATGCTATTTAAAATAATTTCAGAGCTGGCCTGAAGTCATCGCATGGCGAGGGTCAACCGGCTGCCACCATCCAGGAACCGGATCTGGGACGCGTCTTTGGTGTCAGTGGCTACGGCGACATAGTCTTTGCTGTGAATGGACCCACCTCGATGCTGCCTGTGCGTGGCTTCACCATAGATCCACGCTCCGAGACTATTATTGGACACTGGGGCGAGTTCAAGAATCCCCACTCGATAGCCGTCAGTGTGAATGGATCGGCTCTCTATGTGACGGAGACGGGCACCAATCACCAGACGAATCGCGTGTGGAAATATGTTTTGGCTTGAGGTATTGTTCGATTGCCAAAAACCCGGAAGAGCTCTCCACTAGCAGCAACAACATATATCTGAG